TGTACACGCGCGCGTGTGTGTATGGACCCTTTTCAATTGGGAGGGTGCCCCCCCGCCTATTTAATTGCTCTTTCTCTGGGCTGCTGGCGCTGCCAGGAGATGTAAGGCTGAGGGGGGAGTTGGTGGGCGACGGTCTGTCAAGGGGCTCGGGAGGGGAAAGGAAGGGGGGAGATGTGCCTTTGCTGGAAAAGGAGGGAAAGTGTCTTCCGAGGGTGCAAGAATGAGCCGCCTTAGGGACTGGAAGGACGGAGGGCGAGAAAGGGAATGATACTGTGTGAATTGAAGGTGATGGGAGAGAAACGGTGGAAACCGAAGAGGCAGGACGAGACACAAGCGACCTGGTCGAGGCTGGAGGGACGAGGCACGGAGGTCGCGGAGTCGGGCTGCAGTGGACAAGCGCGAGCGGCCGGGGCGGGGGAAGGCAGGCGGTCGCTTTCCACCGGCCCACAAAAGCCTCAGCTGCCCGGACGATGAGTCGGCGAGGATCGCGGACCCCATTCCAGCAGCCATTAGAGATCGATGGATGGTTGACTTGAGACCGGAAGAGAAGGCGGAAGCCTAGACAGGCCGCCATCAGACTCCAAAGAACGGTTTAGAGAGGAGGGCTGAGATGAGATGAACGGGACGTGGCACAATGGGCAGGAGGGGAGAGAGACGTGGATGGGAGCGGCTCGGAGCCGAAGAGGCCCGGAGGAAAGAGAAGCGAAGCGGAGGCAGAAGATGGGGGGTGAAGAGCGGGGGAAGTTGAAACGGACGAGTATTTGGGGAGCGGAGCTTGGTTCCCTCGAAGGAGGGGGGACCGACGGGCGCATTGCCTGAGACCGAGCGAGCGGTTGGGGCGGAGGGTTTGAGAGACGAGAACCGAGAGCCAGTTGTTTAGGAAGTGTTGGCCGAGGAAGGTTGGTGGGGGAAGGGTGGGAGAGAAGACTAGGAATCAAAGTGGGGGGCAAGAAAAGCGAGAGGCGGATTGGGGAGGGGAGTGTGGGAGACAAAGAAGTGTATTGAGTAGGAATAGGTGAAGATAGACCCCCCTCGTTAAGAACATGACAGGTGGGGGAGAGAAGTAGCCACTTGCAGAGAGGTGAATGGAGAGTGAGTAAGAGGAAGGATAAGTTGGAGTGGTTAGTGAGTGAAGAATCTGGTTTTAATTGGTAATAGGATGGAGGTAGAAGACCTCTCGGAGAGAGGACAGGGTGACTGGAAGCAGGGGAAGTCACTAACTACTGCCCAGGTGAAAGTGGAGCAAATGAGAAGGAAGCATAGGCAGTGACTTAACCGCTGCCCAGGAGTGAAGGAGCAAATGGGAGGATAGGAAAGAGATGAGAAGGGTGGATTTGCAGAGGAGTGGGAGGTAATAGAAGGAGTTACTGGAGGTTCTAGGAGAGGACCTTAATGCTGACATACAGTCTCTAGTGTGATTAGGGTGAAGGAGAAGTGAAGCGATGTCAGAAGAAGAGGATCATGATAGTGATAATCAGAGAGAGGTATTGCATGAGATGAGGCGAGCCATTGCAGGGGTGAGGGATTGGGAAATTTGAGATCAATCCCCTCTTCCAGCCTTCCACACTTGAGAATTAGGCAGCTGGATTGCTGGGGACCCTAGTCTCAGGTTGATGCTGTAAAATGCTAGGCCTGACTTGATTGAGGAAGAAAGGGTAGACATGGCATGCATTACTGAATTCTGGATGAGTGAGGATGAAGTGCCCCTGCCTGAGACTACTTGGGTTTCAGATATCACATGCTTGTAGGGTCCTCACTCCTTGAGAGGTGTAACAAAAAGGGACCTACAGGTGAACACTACGCAGGAGCTCCACTCCTGTAGAACACCCTCCACCAGGTAAAAGAAACCCACCCTCATGACTAATATTCAGGAAGCTTTTAAAAACATGGCTTTTTTAGTACACATTTGGGCACTGAAGCAAAAATTGGTAGAGATATTTGAGCTTGGGATGAATTTGTTACTTGATGATGCAAATATCATGGTGTCATAGTAGTAAAACTATAATTGCTGATTGTATCTTATTTTAGATATATTGATATTTTGGGTACTTTTGTTGTTTACTGTATTGTTATATATTGTATATTATTGTTTGTAAACCACTTAGAATCTGACTATTGAAGCAGCATAAAAGTATTTGAAATAAATAAATTGTATGCAAACTTGTCATGCAGCTGTTCAAGGCAAGATTATTTTGTAAAAGAATAATGATTTGTAAGAAATAAAATTCAGAATGGGAGTGAGTGGGGAAAGATAGGCAGTACAAGATTTTAAAGGTGTAGAATGGTGGGTGGAATATATGCTTCTTTCAGTTGCCTTCATTACGGTCATGCTGTCTGGAAAGATAGAGAAATTTAACAGTAATATTCTTGTTTTTAATTAAACTGCCTAGAATTTTGTTGCCCCTTGCAAAACTCCATTTTGTTTACAATTGGCATTCTTAAAAGGGGAAAAGCTTGTTGATAATTAAATACTCCATCTCCATCAGCTACTCTGATTCTGTGACAGAATCAGAACATTCTAGCTATCCATAGCTGCGGCGCTTGGAACTGAGAATTAAAATCACAGCTACTAAAGGAGTAACAGAAAGATTAATATTTAAATTAAAGATCTTATAAGGTTGCCATTTCTTTTCTTGGTAAGACTCCTATTTTCTTAACAGCTGGATTTGCAGCAAATGTTCAGGTGGTGTGAAGATGAGAATTCACTTTTCAGGATTGTATTAAACTGCAATTGTTCAAAGCACAGCACTCTGCTTTGGAAAGAAAGTGGCAATACAAACTTCTCTGGGCATGTAACAGGAGCAAAGTGGGCTTCAAAATTGCTTTAGGAACAGATTTACTTGGAGCATCATTTTTCTGGCCTTGCTTGCTTCCATGAAAAAAATATAAGCTGTGAAATGGAGTGAGCATCTCTATAAAGTTAGGGACAGAATGGTGTTAGTAGGGTATATGAAGAAGAAGGAAGGAGGCATGCCCTGGGGGCCTTAGACAACGAAGTCTCCGTTCAAAATGAATCTACAATCTTTGCTCGTGCCAAAACATGGACAAGTCAAAATCTATCTCCAGAATATTTATTTAATAAATTTATAATTGTCCCTTCATTGAAAGGTCACAATCCTCCCTCCTGCTCTGTCTCATTTACTGGAAAGTAAGTTCCATTGAACTCATTGGCTGAATTCATATAATGCAACTATTCGCATTAACTCAGGACTTCTTCATTTTAACTTAGTATTATGTGTGAGCCATTCTCTTTGCGTTATTCAACAAGGCATAGTTAAAATAGTCCTCAATAACAAAAGCTAACGATTACGTACAGGACTGCTCAAAGTATTTCAGGATGGCATACAGTAAAATCAACAGGAACAATACAGTAGATCCCAGAAGCAGCAGCCAAGAACTGATAACAGGGAATCCATAAAATATAGCAAGCGATAAAACCATGCTGTAAAACCTGTTGAAATGGCCAAGCGTTTTAAAAAAAATACATATGAATAAAGATTGGTTGCTATAACATTGTTTTCTGGGGAAGGTGCTGTACTTTTTGAAGATTGCAACTGAGAAAGCCCTTTTCCTAGTAATCTGCCTCATTAGGGTCTCTGATGATTATTTATAAATTCAAGATGTAGATGGCAGACTTTCAGTTTGTTGGATCTGTTTTACTGTGGCAAGAGATCTTTGCTGAAATCCAGAAATCCCAGTTAGCACAGTAACTTTTTATTTTGTGTAAGTAAGTTGCAGAAAAGTATTCAAAGAAACTTACATGTTACAAAATTCTAATTTAAAGGTTACCAGAACATTTGTATGTATGTATATATTTATTTAATTTATATAGCCATACTATTTTTGTCCAGAAAAGAGTCACTTGGAGAAAGATATTACATAATGTTCAGTTCACCTAGGTTAAACACCTTACTGTTCTGTAGTCTTGCTTCAAACATTGCAATGTAACAGATTCCCATACCACTTATGGTAGAATACTTTGGAAGTTCAACAGCTGCCTAGACTGCAAGAAAATAATGTAATCTTACCAGTTTTCACCATGAAAGTCAATTTATATGAGTTAAGTCAAAGACAGCCTTTACCTGGTGAACAAGAGATCAAACGTTCAGTCATGCTTTGGAATACCTAGATGTGATTAGTCTCAAAATACTTTTGATTCAGAAAGGCCTGTTATTCTCAGTGTGTTTTTTTAAAGCTCTATAGCTCCTCCCAGTAAACTAGATTTTAATATTAAATTTAAAAAATAAGCAATCTGCTTGTCTTTTTTCTCAAATGAAATTAATACCAGCATTGTAATAATTTTATATTTAAACATTTTAATTAATAGAGTCATTATTGATGGGTTCTGTCAGTAGGTCTGTCTAATTACTTTATTGCATTCTGTACATTTAAAATATTTAAAATTTAAAAATCCAGATAGTTTTTATATTGTGTCAACACAAAGACTTCCCCAAAGACCTACAGTTAAAAAATGTCATAGAGAACATGAGTATGACCAGGGTTGGGATTTGTAAATGATGCAAAATGGGAGTGGCAAGGTGAAAGCCGCAATAGTAGAAGAACTGGTACAGTGTATTTAAGAAAAATGTTGAAAAAAATGAGTCATGAATACAGCGTTGATGAGTTGGCTTCTTGAAAGCTTACCTCTGGTAATCTTTGGAAAATGTGGATGCTGGAATATGTGTACTCATACTGTACTCTAGCAAGTTTATTTGTGAACTTAAAAGGCAGCTGTTTCGAATGCAAAAGAGGAAGTTGTGGAGCGTGAAACTGCCTTATATCAAGGCAGACCATCCTTATATGATATTCTACGATGAGCAGGTCCCTGAAGTATGAGGTAGAGTGTTTTTCTCACTGCTGCTACCTGAGATCCTTGTAATTGGATAAATTCAGGATTAAAGAAAAGACACCTTCCATTATCTAATCCACTATTATTTTGAGCTATTCTGTGCGAAAGGTCCTCTGTATAATATCTTGACCTTAGGGAGTGACACTGCTGAATGAATTGGGAGTAGATCTCGACAGAGCTTTCTGGTTATTGACAGGTCCTGAAGTGTAGAAGGCTGGGAATTGTTACTTATGCAAGCTAATTGTGCAAACTTTAAATGAGATATTCATCATTTTCAAAATGCTTAGTTTTTAGATTAAATGAACAAATATCAGAAGTGCCATCGGTCCTATTATTTAATTGCAGAAAAAATGCTTTAATTTTTTTTTTCACTGAGATATGAACAATATATAGACTGCATTTCCAACTGTGGCTCCCTGTAAAAGAATCTCTTTTTTTGTATGGCTAGGAGCCCTTTGTGGCAGATGAGTACATTGAACGCTTGGCATGGAGGACTCCTGGTGGAGGTTCCCGAGGTGGCATGGAAGCTTTTGATCCCAAAAGGTAAAATTTAGCTGCACAATCGAGCCATACAATGTGTACTTTAACTATCTTTAGCACAGAACAAGCATTCCGTGAATCAAATAAGCATCCAGTAAGCACACCAGCTGTGACTCTGAACCCCCCTCCACCCAAGCAAGCTTCTTAGAGATTTTCAAAATAGTTAGTCAGGGGAGGAAGGGGAAATATAGCTTAGAAAGCATAAAAAAAAAACCCTGAGGTTAGAAGGGAACAGTTTTTCTTTTCAAAGCCTAGATTGGAGAACGAATGGATCTTATACAGCCTAATGACCAGATCATTTTAGTTTCTACAAGTGACATCAAAAGCTTAGTGAATTAATTCCTTTGGCATATAATTGTATATATGGACAGACATATGGGATAAATTAGGGGCTATGCAATATGGTTCATGGGGTCACGAAGAGTCGGACACGACTTAACGACTAAACAACAACAACAACAATTATGGGTTTTTGGATGATGAGGAAGATAACATGATTATTGTCAGTGCTATTTGGTAAAGGCTTAGTGATCCCTACATTGCCTTATATTCTATAACACCTCATGTTAGTATCAAGGATCAACATTTGTATATTAAAACCTGTCTTATTAAAGTGTTTATCCTCAGATTGCAAGAAGAATTTGTGAATCATATCAATGAACTGAAGTTGCTAGATGAACGAATCCAAAGGAGGGTGGAAAAATTGGAGCAACAAGTCCAAAGGGAAGCTAAGGAGTTTGCCAAGAAAGTTCAAGAGCTGCAGAAAAGCAATCAGGTAAACAGGAAGGGCACAGATTCTTTCCTTGTTCTGACTCACTTCAGTAAATTACACACAGAATGACTGAGATAGCACATTGTGCTTTTCTATAATGTGGTTGATTTGGTTTTGGTTTAAATGTGTTTTTGAACCCAGCTGTTATGGTTTGTAAAGCTGTGGTTTAAAATTTAGACATTAACTTTCTGCTGGATTCTGTTCTAAATGTTGCATGAAAATATGTTGTTTTTATTCCATTAACATTTAATCAAGGAACAGTTTAGGCATATTTTGGTAATCATTTAGTAATTCTCGTTCCCTGCATACTTAACTGTATACAAAATTTGAGAAGTATTTGTCCTTTATTGATCATGACAACTCAACTTACCTTGATATCACTATACATTTCCTTATAGAGAGAGATTTCTTTTCAATTACTTTAATTACTTCATATTAAATAACTGCAACCATTAACTAGCCCTGCAGGAATATGGACGAATTTACAACCGTGAAATTCAAATTCTAACTTGTATGGGGGAAAGCTTGATATAATTCTAAATTTCAGATGGAAACTACATACCAATCTTTGTTAAGACTCATTCCAAGTACTTGATTTCAGTGGAATTAATTTGACTCAAATTAGTTAAAATGGTGTTTTTCATCAATAGGCTTTTAATTTTGGTGGGTGTTTGCACATTTTAGAGAAGTTTGGCTGGGTCATGATTCATCCCTTATACTGGCTTCTGAGCTTTTTCTTCTTCTGAATGTTATTAAAGAGCTTGATTTCTATTCATTATAGGAAACACAAACATTGTTTTGTCTATTTCTCCCAGGTTGCCTTCCAGCATTTCCAAGAACTAGATGAGCATGTCAGCTATGTGGCAACTAAAGTCTGTCACCTAGGTGACCTGCTGGAGGGGGTAAATACACCAAGGCAACGGCTAGTAGAGGCTCACAAACTGATGAAATACTTTAATGAGTTTCTAGATGGAGAGCTGAAGTCTGACGTTTTCACCAATCCTGAAAAGGTAAGACCCCATCAGCAAGATTGAATGAGGTTACTCATGACAAACTGAGTTGCCCTAATTATAATTCTTGCTACAACTTTTCCACAGTTTAACTCCCCAGTGAGCGACTTGTCCAGCTCCATTGTTCTTGAGTGCAGATTAACTTCATTTGTCTGCTGATTCAGCAATTCTCAATGTAGTAGTGCTGTCACTTTTTCATTTTGCAAAATCATAAGCAACTTTGAAGAATGCTGAGAGAGTAATTCTTTAGAATGCCTTAGAAATCTCTTACGTTCTTCTGAATGTCATGCCCTAATTCTTCCTACTTGTGAATGAATGTTTTTCCCCACATGATCCTTGAGAAATCTCTCAAACAAAATCTCTTTGTATAGATAAGTATTTTCAGGGTGTGTATTTGGATTTCTTCTTGAGGCATACAATTAATACTGAGGTGCATTGATAAAACCTAACAGATGTCAGAATTTTTTCTTGTGAATCTGGCTTCACAATTTCAAACCAGGATATTACTTGAATATTGGGGGGCATTTTAAATTTGGGGGACAACTACTGAAAAATGCTACCCCAGGCTAGCCATCTGCTGCATCTCAACCTGGGAGGGCACTTGGAGCAGGGCCTCGGAAAATGATAGTTGGCTACGGTTAAGTATATGAGAGGAGGCATTATTTTAGATACTGTGGTTTAATAAAACCCCTTTTTCCCCAGCCTTTTACATAAGGGAGTAAGTACAGGTAGCACAATGGAATGTAAGAAAAATGTGTTTTCTTTCCAAGTTGCCAATACCTTATCCCTGTCTTTCTGACTCAAGACACTTATATGCTTGGAACAAATTTGTGGGACCTACCAAATGCAGCAGAGCCAAGAAAATGTCTCCTGGATGATCTCTCTACCCCAGTTATTTTGCAGGTGTAGCTTTCCTTGTCAGATCCTACAAGGATTTTCATTATTCATGGTATTTGGGGATATTGAAAGCTGCTGAGAGGTCCAAGAGAACTAGTAGTATCACACTCCCAAATCAAGTTCCCAGTGTAGGTTATTATCACAGTAATCAAAACAGTGGATTCCTTGGGGTTCTCTGAGCTTGGTTGTTTTCTTGCAAATGTTTTGTTACCCGGTTAGGTAA